ACTACACATCTTTTCTGTGTTCCAACGATCACTTCTAGAAGAAGAACCTCTGGGAATTATCTGAAATGACAATATAAATCATATTGGTGTGTCGGGGCAATTTGATTCCACGCACGACGTGGTTTGTTGTAATCAAAGCGCTGGCCATCGCGCCACATACAGACGCGAACTTCTACCATACCACGTGCTCTTCTGAATCAAGTTGTATCGGATAATGAACAATGGTGAAAACTGTATTTGTGACCGGATCCCACGAAACTAGTGCCAGGGACATATGTTGACTTAGGCCTATATTACTTCATAACACTAGCTGCAGAAAGAACCGTATAGGCCTAAACTTATATCAGTATTTCCATATCCCAAAATGGCGTCCAGATGTTCCCACACATGCGTATTTTGTGAATTTCAAGGACATAGACAATGGGTCCGTGCGCGAACGAGAGGGCGTTTTTTTTTTTTTTTTTTTTTTTTACCTCTTTCGACTTTTTCTGCAACCAAGACTAATAGTCGATGACCATGATGCGTATGCGTCAGTTGGAAACAGAATGGTTTTCGGACTTTTAACTTCCCTTTAAACAAATCTTCCAGGGCATGAATCAGAAAAAAAGGCGAAATTTCTTTCTTCGATCATTATGAAAGAAATATCACCTTTAGGATGGAAACAGAAAAATGTAAAACTTTTGGGAATCGAACCCGCAATCATTGTGACCATTAACATAAGGCATGCTTCAAAGTACAATGGTGCCACGATTTTCGCCGGAAATCTAAACCATTTGGTATGTTCGAGTAGCTTTCTTGTGTATACACGGGGTTTACACTAGAGCCACGACATGAGGCTAATCTACCGCTGCGCTGTATTCTGGGCATTCTGAGAAAATTAGGGTCAAAGATTATTGCCTGGATAAACACACCAGACATGCTGTCATGTGCTCCAGTGGTAAAATGGAATAAGTAATTTTTTGTATCATTTCAACCAGTCCAATACTTGCTGGAATGGGAAGATATGCTCTGAATTATCAAACATCATGCCTGTCCAATATTGAACACCGTTGATAATTTGGACTGTTCATTGGCGTCTCCGACCGGGGAGCAACTGAAGCATTTTGGTGTGTATTTTAAGACGGTTTCAAGACAGTTCCGACTTCGATACAGCAGAGTCTTCATATTGCCCCCGGCATAAAAAAAAGCTGCACGCGGCTACGGGGAATATTTGTGTCATAAATCTCTCCATTGTACTTACTTCGTATTCAGGTTCCCGCCATTATATAGATTTCTGCAATAAAATGTGCAATATCGCAGAAATCTGCGCAGAAATCTGCGCAAAAAAGTGCAATATCGCCGAAATCTGCGCAGAAATAATGTGCAATAAAATGAGCGATATTGCAGAAATCTGCGCTGAAAAAATGTTCGAAAAAATGTGCGACATCGCAGAAATCTGCGCAGAAATTTCGATGTGTGGTGTCCCTTCAGGGCCACCATAGTTTCCCTCTGCATTTCATATCATGTCATAAATGTTGTCGTAGTCGAGTCGCGATCTAACTGCATGTGAAATATAATGCACACGTGCTGAATCATAGACTGGCCCCGAGTCATTTGCTTTTCAAACCGCGCCGAATTTGCTTTTGCCGTGGGGAATTTGCTTTTGCCGCGGCGAATTTTGTTTCGCCGCGGCGAATTTTGTTTTGCCGTGGGGAATGTTGCTTTTGCCGCGAAGAATTTGCTTTTGCCGCGCAGAATTTGTTTTTGCCGTGGAGAATTTGTTTTTGCCGTAGAGAATTTGTTTTTGCCGCGACAGTTGTGGGCCACCGTATAATCTAGCTTGTCACGAAATCGTCCGGCCATGGTGACCGTTTTAGCCGATTTTCGGTTTTTTGTTAAAAAAACGAGTTTGACAGAAAATTTGACAGAATGGAATTTGTTGGCTGATTTCTGGCAGAATTTTGCAAAAATGGTTATTTGATAGAAAAACATAGCAACTTTGAAAAAAATGGTACATTTTTGTTTTAAAAATTAAGCTTCAATCTTTTCAAACAAACCCTTGCATAATGGGACAGGTTGGCTGGTCTAGGTGCTGATGGTTCACTGGGAACCGGACTTAATTTGTCGTGACGCAGCGCGTGTTTCCTGAAATTTACGCGATTTCATAACATCTTTATGGACTTTAAATTATTTATAATGTAATTTGAACCTTAATTAAGGCAATACTACAACATCTGCATGTGATTTTAAGTGTTTATAGTGCATTTCGAGTAATTCTGGGGAATTTGGCCGATTTTTGGTAAATCTGACAGATTTTTGAAGTGCATTTAGCAGAAATTGGCCATGACCTTACGGTCACCCTGCGTCCGGCTACGTCATTACACCCGGGCATCCACCACAGACCGGCTCGCGAGCTGGAGCAGTGGTGGTTGATACAGGGGCAGCCAACGAGTATCACATGATGGCCAATAGAACACTGTGGAAGTTTTACTTCGTGTTAGCTACTCGAACGCAAAGTTAAATTTCAAATTACATGACATATCAATTCAATCACAGGATATGTTTCGCGTATGAAGGTAAATGACTTTACTAAACAGCAGAAAACAGACAGCGTATAGAGCTTTCTTTGCACTTTTTTTTTTTTAAAAATATACCAACAAACGCTATCAAAGACGTAATAACAATGCAAAATATGTTGCCAAACTACGGCTTAAATTTATACCCTTGTGGAAGCCCATACAAAATGGCACTCAAATTTCTTCTAAAATATAACTCCATGATGTGCACATTGATCTCCATTTAGACTTGACCCAAGTCTGGGTTTCGCGTGGTCTGTGCAGTAAACGCACGCATGCATGTATGTACCACAGAGCTTTATTAAATTACTAGAGCGCTAACTCCTTATTCCCCGCGGATCAACTTCGTTCCCCATGGTTACGATCTTTCTTCACCATGTTTGTTCCCATCATGCCTTGTGCGATCTTAACCCCTAGACAGTGGTTCCCAGACCAAAATAACCTGACTATTTCTGATGAATCTTAGGTCCGGCAACCGCTACTAATATAATCATTACTTGTATTTAAAAACTTGAAATTCAATGATGATTTTGTGCATTAAGTATGCCCTCAGATCGTACGAGATTTCGACGACGGTTACCGAGATTTTCCAAAAGTTCGGCGTGGTCTCCATTTCGGCTTCGCCTGCTAACGGTGCTAGTTGGGTCCCTAACTTTGATGATTCCAGGTCAATATAAGTAAATGTTTTCTTACAGAAATATCAAACCGATACATGTAACTGTATAATGAAGCGAGTGATTTTTAAACAATTTGAACGGAACATTCAAAGGTATAAATGATAAAGCCCAACCGGAAACGAAGCCGAGCTTTGCAAAAGCGCCGTCATGTTTATTTGTAGCCCTTGAGGTTGCATGGCCTACAATTTAGACGTCTGGGCGTCGGGGGAAGTTGTCAGATCAGGGAACCAGACTATTAACCCCTGGATAAATGGAATAGAACCTGAAAGTAAGATGAGGCGTCATACCCCTCGCGCGGCCGGCATATGGGCATTTTACACTAGGTTACCCTTTTCCCTGCTATAATTTTTGACAGAATGGTTTTTAACCGTAATCACCCCAAGAAACATTAATGTTTTTATTTCTCACGAAGAAAAATAATGAGAAATCATTTGGAGATGGGGAAAAACTAATTTACTTACGACTTTTCACATCCGGTATTTTCGTTCCTGGTTCTCCTTGTTCGTTCACGTTTGTTTTCACATGGCGTACTTGAGAACGAAAATGCCTATACGACGCGAAATTTACCTACCTACAGCCGATGGGTTCTAGATTAAGTCGGGCTGGCTTGAATGCAGTCCGTATCAGCGGTCAATTTAGATTTGTTTTGCAAATGCTTATGTAGTGGTCGGCCCTGCTGTATTACTACTAGTCGGGGGGGGGGTCCGCCCACCAGTTAAGGAGGACGAGAGGCTCACTGAACAAGGCAATCATTGGTCGGGACACTTCTCCTTGATTTGCTCTCAATTAGTTGACGATGTATTACGGTGAAATCCAGTATGAGGGGAAGCTTACAATCAAGTAAACAAAACCAAAAACCCTACAAAGAAACAGAAAAACAACACTATTTAAGTTCCCAGAAGCATATAGGGGGCCTACATTTTCACATGCTGAAAGTCTACAATTTATACAGCAGAAAGCAAGACTTTCAGTACGAATGTACAATAAACACAAGAGTCTTACCCTGACTTCTTAAAGGCATATTAGGTCCAAAAATATAAGAAACGTCAGATAGCTGGGTTATTCCACAAGGAGCCATCACAGCAAATATGCCTTGCTTTCGAGCTGCAGGAGTCAAGCGTGGGAACTGTCTCCGAAAACAATACTTTGCAAGTGCAATGTATACAAAATAATGTATACAATGTAAGCCACTTCCGGCCGACGGGAGTGTCGTCGAGAAAACGTTTTGTAATTCAGCAAAGTACGGGGCAACATGTCATATGCATATAAAGTTAAATGTTACCTGACAGGGAAATCCCCAGATCCGCACACTAATGAGCCCCTAAAGTAGTATCCTTAATCTTCTATCCGGTTCGTCACTTCAGTTTAAACCACACCCACTGCATGTGGTAGCATTGGAACCATCAAACCAGAAGTTAACGCACGCCCACCACTAATTACTAGCGCCCGTTGGCTAAACACTCAAGTTGTGTTTAACTTGCAGTTCCAATGGGTGATGCATGCTCATTATATTACTTATGCTCATATTACTAAAAAATAATGGCTTTACACTTGAACCACCTATCCCTTTTTGGTCTCGACCAAGTTACTTCGTTGATAAATAGGGGCTTGTTTGGTGAAGCCCCTAAGCTAATGTTTCAGTATTCGTTTCGGCCAGAATCCACTATGAAGATGATATATGATTCATCATGGGTCACAATCACACAATGATGTCATGGTCACAATCATTGACGGTTGTGTGAGCTCTTTTTTTGTATTTTGTCGGCAGGTTATGGATTCTTGGCCCCCAATACCCAGCTTGGACGCGGACTGTGCATCATATACGCGCTGATAGGTATTCCGCTCAATATCATCGTAATGGCGTCGGCTGGCAGGGCTCTAGCACGGTACACCAGGTCCGTCAATCGCAGTCTGAGGCAAACCTGGACGAGGTGCGCATTTTGGAAGAAGAGGGTGGGGCCCAAGATGGAGAGCTCAGCCCCGCCCCGAACGAGGTCGAAAGGGGAGGGGACAAATGACCAGAGAAGACGCACGCACTTGCGCACTCTGTCTCTTAACAGAGAAGAGTTCTCGGACTGGAGTAATCGGACCAGTGGTGAACAGACGACGACGGAGCGGGACGGGGACGATGATGACCGGGGGCTCGGGGTCACTGGATCCCCGGAGCCATGGAACGGTGACGCCCCGATGGATGCCATTAGTGACACGAGCTCCCCTGCCTGGCTGTTTCTTTTCCTGGTGCTGTTGTACACCTGTTTCTTCTCAGCGGTCATGGTCATCACTCAGCCTGGTTGGACCGTGCTGGATGGGTTCTATTACATCATCATCACCATCACCACAATCGGGTTCGGTGACTTGCAAACCTCGAGCAACAGTGATGAGAACACCAGCCTCGCTTACTACTTGTTTGGTTGCCTAGCCATCGTCATCCCTGTGCTAGGCATGATTCTCTTGTCTGCAGGCATCTCCATCGTTGTCAACCAGTTTGGTAAGAAGACAAAAGCCATTGAGGAAGTCGTGTGCGGTAGCTCCAAAACACGTGGATAAATCACTCGAAATTGCCAACCTGCCCTGACCGGACACTTATCCACAACCGGGAGACAAATCCAATCTACGGCATCAAGTATTGCTTTCTCAAGCTTCACAGAACCCATAAATGAAGACCAAACTTTTACCCCCTTCTGTAAGTCATAACATCTCTTGGAAACAAAATCTTCTACACTTAGAGAGATTGTCACTACACCAATAAGAACAAACTCTGGGCGGAATAATGGGTGTACAACCCATCTGAACAATAATATTCCGGTATGTCAGACTTAGAGAAAGTCAGTCATCAACGGAGTACAAAATCTGTTTGGCGATTTATAACCGACATCAATCATATTCCCGCGCTCGCAGCCAGGAGAACGAGTATGATTTTGGCCGTTGCGGGCTACACTTACAAGAGTCGACAAGACTATTATCGTTCCCGACGTTATAACTCACATTGTTCGTGACTAATGGCTGTTCCGGGAGGTTTTTTTTTTTTTATTAAATGAAAACAAGAAAATTGACATTTTAAAGGCGCATGCAGTATTCAAATATTTGCGATTATAAGCAGGAGGCCATGGATCTTGTTTCGTTAATTTAATTTAGACCTTTTTTTCACAATTTCTCAAGAGACACTGAGTAAACGCTACAGTGCCTGTAGAGCGTTATACATGTGTACATCGATGAAGAGCTAGCCAAATGTGCCGTACAAGTGTCACGTCACGCGGGGTCGTCTCCAATAGCTTGATATGTCCAAACAATGTCTCGTCCGCCATTTTTACTTTACGATTTACACAGGAGATATAGATGAACATCTTCTAGTTCAAATTTCTCAGACAATAAGTATATCTGAGACTGGAAAATGGGACAGTGCTTCGTAGCTCACTATAGTCAGCAATCAGAACGTGATGGATACCTTTATTTTTCTTTGCCAACGGATGAAAGTTGATGAAAATTGGTGGGCACCGTGCTATCGCTCGCGCTTTAGGTCAGGTTTGTTATAGACACATCACCCCGGGCAACGTATGACCTCGGTGACGTATGACGTGACCACCTCTAAGGCGTTATATATCAAATATTCAAAAGTAGGCCTGCTATTGGTAATTAACTTGAGTGGTATGGGGATAATGTACTTTATGGACTGGCGATATAATCCTTGAGTGTGGATTGGTACGAAGTGTAATGCTTTTGAAAGGATACCGGTAATCAAAATGACACACAATGGGAACAAAACAAAGCAAAGGGCGAAAGGACAAATTGACAAGTCGTGATGATGGGTTTGTCCCTTTAGCTGTGGCTACGAAACGATACTTTTGGCAGGCTGTGCGACGGGTGATATTTTGACATTCTTGAGGCTTCGTCTCTTCGACATTTACTAAAAGTGTGTAACGAATTTGTATATAATTCATGTACGTACAAGGCACATATTTTTTTTCATCGACAGTGTTTGATCTTAGGAAAATAAATTGCGCAAAACACATTATTGTTATCGTAAACATTGATATATTTTTTTCCTCTGATAACTCAGTTGCTGGGACACACTTAAACGAGAATAAAGACTATTTCCCTGTTGTTTTATATCTTCCTTCTTCATTGTATCTCAAATCATGAATGACATTAGCAAGCTTCCATGATATTGTTGTCACATTCACCTCACATTATATAACAACAAAAACACGGTACACAAACCAACATTTCCCAACAACTATATGAATATGTAACTTCTTCGAAGCAACTGCATGTCTGCCTTTGTTCTTGCTGTGGCGCCGTTTGCTTGTCTTCGCGCCATTTACTTTGTACGTTATGCTTAATTATTACTTATGTACACAAAGTGATTACATATTACTCCTGCTGCCAATTTCGATTCACCCGGTTGACATTTTCAAAAAGCTCCGGAGACTCCAAACTGGAGCCGCATTACAACCAAGTCACAACTCGCACAACTTAGACTCAAGAGCCTTGATCAAACCATCACGAATCGCCAGGTCAATTTTAATTTGCTGATCATGTGCAAATCGAGTCCGTTACAGCTTTATCCACGTTACATTCATCTTTCTGCATACTTTATTTTGTAATTTTTGCATTTTCATCCATCTTAATGTTGACATAATTCATCTTTTTATTATTCTTTGTGTATAGGCTCATACTGTATCAAATACCTAACCAATCGTTACGTCATGACTATTATTTACTCTAACTATAAATTTTTAATTTTTTTCTTATGTGAACGGGGAAATTTCATTCAAATTTTAACAGTGCAATGAGAACATATAATTATATTTTTTTCATTAGAGTATGTTTTATTTTGTGTCGACATCTTTATACACTTTGATGACCATTTCACAAGCGACAAATACATACAGGAAGTACTGTGTCATCTAAAGAATAAACCCATCTTAAAAACTCCATTTACTGAATTCAGTTTAGGCCCACAAACAATAAATATTGTTTCAAATAGTTTTCTCCACTTTTTAACAATCCCCGATAAAAACATGTAATGTTAGTATTATTACAGTAGCGTTACTATAATATGTACGACATTATCAAAGAAGTCGGAGTGTTCTATATATTATGATTTTCATAAATGTTTTCATTATGTTAAGTAAAATAAATCACTTTGTGACACAATCTTGTGCTCCAAACAGACTAAGCTAGTCTGGATTCTTTGATTCTGCAAACTGACGCGTACTCCACTCCCAAAAACAACATTTTGAACTATTTCGAAGCAAATTACATCGGTGTAACAACCAACCAAACAAATAAAACAAATAAAAACCCGGGGAAAAAACGGAACCAAAAACGATCATGATTGTACACTTGCATGGTATTGTCATTTGTACACAGATTAATCACTCAGTCTGATTATAATCAGTCTTAATTTCACAAGAGGGTATCGATACTATTATTTAAAACAAACACTGCCGCGCAAATTATCATTAAAAAAGGAAAGTATATAGACACATTAGTAAACGACAAAGAAAAAAAGATGATTGTCAAGCGAGTCGAGTGTTATACGTTCATTTTTCGGCCCTGTGTAAAACATTTAATACCTAAACTTGCGCATCTGGGTGTTGGAATGTATTGTTGTTGGTGATTTACCTCTAAAACTTCTTTATGGGGGTTTTAACTTGCGATTTATTGGCACTAGATCTCAGCCAGGTTGTACACAATCTGGCTGTCAATTAGCTTTTTAGTATAACAAACTGCAGCGTAGCCTACTTGGATGACGAGGCACAGGCGGTAGTATCAGCGCTGGCCACGGTTGAAGTAGACGCCGACATGCAGTCGCCACTCGAAGCGGCTAACCCGGCCATCTTGCTGGTTGGCGACAAGACAACAGGAGGACCACAAATGGCTGGCTGCTCTGCCTCCATTTTACTGCGTAGGTTTCCGGTGGAGGCCCTGAAAAACTTCGGAAGACCTTCCACGATGGAATGCCGTCTAGGGACGAGCTCGTGCTGGTCGTGGGACTTCTCAAAGGTGGCGTTATCCGCGGACCCGTACCGCGGAATGTAGACGACTTTCTTCGAGGAAAAGTACGGCAGGGAATGCCGCTTGACTGCGCGGGTCACGGCGGTAGACGAGACGCGGCGGAGTGGGTGCAGGTTGTCACTCACGGCCTGCCTGAACTCGGAAAACTTGGAGGTAGTAGCGCTTCTGTTGGTAGCGTCAGCTTGGACGTGGAAGCTCGCTCCAGACTTATCTCCGGATGAGACAATCTTCGGTCGTCTTTGGCCGGCTGGAAGGCGTCCTGAAGCTCCCCCATGCTGTGACGATGCCTCCCTGATGACGTCACCCGCGATTTGCCCAACGTATTAAAGGTCATAGCAGGATGTGACCCGTACTGCGAAGGCCCCCGGCTCTGTCTCATAGCATCAGCGTTGCGGTCTGCAGCGTGAGCGTAGGTACCAGACGGGCGCAGGCGGCGCGCAAGAGCACGTGTGTCAAAGCTCCAGGGTGCGGCTGGGAACTTGGGAACTCTGATGGTCCGCCTCGCCAGTAGAGGGCGTCGTTCAACGGGAGGGTAATACTCAGCCACGTTGGGTCCAACTGGTTTCATTCCTTGCGAGAGGACTGCCATTCTCATCGAGACTTTTGGACCAGGGTTTCATCGATAACATATCAAACCTATGCGGATATAAACATTATGAGACGTGGCGTGTGAAAACCCGCGGCCGCGTGTTGTATAATAACGTACTGTACTATATCCATATACTATACATCAGCAGCCGCATTCTTACAGGAGCCATTCACTATACCTACCAGATGCCATTTTTTTATTATACCACATCCTCATACATATTCATGACCGAAAGCCGAATTCTCACTGGTCCATTCACCATCACGTGCCAGATCATATTTTTGCTGTTTACCAAACGCGCGCGCGCGAGTTTTCATGCACAGGCTAAGTACGCATGAGTATAGTGACGGCTGTCACGTCATAGTCTACGGTCTGGGTGTCGCTCGGGTGAATGCGGCTGATAATTGAGCACGTTGCAGTGCACGTTACATGAGGACACTGCATGTCACGTTGCTGTGCTTACATTCTTTGCTCAGGTGTCCGCTGTGCTTACGTCGGCAGGTCCTACCATGTCACACTCCAGAATGGGTTAGTTATGTAACACTTCCTGTGGGTCAAGCTTAGAGAGGACTGGAGTATTTTGCCTGGTCATTCCATGGTCTTGCAACAGCGTGGGTGTGTACAGTGTGTGTGTATGGAATGGCTTTGTACTGAAGGTCTGTGTTCCTGTGTCTGTGCATGGCTTGTCTGTGAAAGTGTGTGTGTTGTCTTCATCGTTGTCTATTGTTTTTCTTTCATCTGATTCACCTGTCTTTACATGTACTGTATTGGGAGTTCGCGCCCTACGAAAATTCTGGATTCGACTGGTACGTATTACGTATACAATACTACATATCAAATACAAACATCCTCACCCGTCACAACCACAAGCTCAGCGACACACACATAAGATGGCTGGAATACTACTGCGCAACTTGCGCTGCGTGCGAAATTTCCCTCGGCGGAGAAGCTAGCACGCCGGAGAAGTGAGACCGTGACAACGGGTTACCCGTGCGACAGTCTACTACGCATGCGCTTTAGGAAGCAATCGTTGAACTGTCGCACGGGTGAAGCACGCACGCGCGAAGCGCGAACATCGCCCATAGCTACACATGAAAAGATGGTTGCACACGTAAATAACAATGAAGCGTTTTCCCGAGCTGAATGATGCCGAACTTGGAGAATATTGTGGACAATATAAAGATGCATGTGCTAAAAAAAGTTGTCCACAAACAATTGTATTTACAACCGTAGTTACTGTATTGCAAACGAACTGAAATTTTTCGGAGTTTGAGCAATATTTTTTTTCTGGTTAGCTGGACAAGTTTCTCCGAAGATTTTGCGGATGCATACTGCGGGAAAAATCGCAACTGAAATGTAATATGTATGAGGTAGTAAAACAAATATAACACGGTTTATTTCGGGCGGACAGTTGATATAGCTCCCCTCGGTATTGGGAGTTGACAAACTAGTTCCCGAGGATTCGCCTCGGGAACTCGTTTGCCAATAACTCGGGGAGCTAATATCGACTGTCCACCCTCAAACCATGTGTATATAAACGAGCGCTAAGCTTCAATATAAAGGTACAACACGATGTTTCTAATTTCTAACACCGCACATTTGAGCAATGTGAAAATGATGACTCTGGCCGTGCTTCTTGTAGTTTGTTTTCTGAAAGATTACAATCCAGAGCTCAACTTTTTTATGAGAGCTAAACGGAAACAAGTCTCAAATTCGAAAAAATTGAATCAAAATTTGATTCTTACCGCCTCGGCATGTCGGTGGAATCGTTGATTCGTTGGGCTCAGAATGCACGTAAGAATTTTGCAAGATCCTGTGATAAAAGAAAATGATGAGTAGTGGGTGGTAACGAACGAAGTAGAATTCATGGTAAGATTCAAGTTGTGGCCAGGAATTGCACGTCTTCTGTTTGCAAGCCGTGCCTGCAAGTTCACGGATAGAAACTGAATGATCGGGAATTAGAGCAAACTTGGGAATTTGCTGCGATGACAAATGTGTTGGGAAATGGCCAAAGAACGGCTATCAGAGAGACAGATGAGGGGATAGTATTATGATGGGGATGGAGGTTAATTTTGGAGGTGGCGATTGTAGAGGTGGTAAAGCAGAGGCGTAGCCCAAAGGGGAGTGCCCCCCCCCTCAGGTGCGCCTACAAAAATCCTAACATTTGCCGCTTGCCAAAGAAGTGTCTTTTTGACGGTTCTGTTTTGAGTAAAGAAACAGAAGTTTAGTGAAGGTGATTATATTTTATTAGATTTTAACCCCCTTTAGGTGCCATTTAAAAATTTCATTGTTTTTAAATTTGGATATCTTTCCCCAATTTTTTTGACCCACCCCAACCCCTTTTTTGATTTTAAAAAATTGATTTGTGTCAATAAAGATCATACATGTACATGTAAGCCTACATGCACTTGCATACAAATACATACATGTACATGTGTGTCCATGCACATGCATGCCCATGTACATTATGTGGCAGTTCAGTGACGGCTAGATGAAGCTGCTTCCCTGTTGCATTAGTGCCCTGAGAAAGGGGTCCAGTACCCAGTGTTGTAGTCGAGACCGGATAGTCCGAGACCGAGACCAAGACCGAGACCTGAAGATTCGAGACCGAGACCGAGACCGAGACCGAGACCAGCCCCTTCAAGGCGGACCGAGACCGAGACCAATATGGTCCGAGACCGAGACCGAGACCGAGACCGCTGATAATAAATAACAATAGTCTAAATAAAAAAACAAGACACGTTATTATAGTTGAAAAATGTAACCTTTCTATTCACAAAGAATACAGACCAAAATTTTGACCAGTGGCAATGTTGACAAATTGATACATGACACCTTACTTGAGCAAAAAGTAGTTACACTTAAGAAATATGGGCTTTGACATGTTGTCTGCACCCAATCGCGACAAAAGTAAAAAGTTAAAGGTAGATGTTTCATCTGTTATAGGAACTCGGATCCTAAACTCCACAGTCACCCCCTTGGTTTCAGCTATGACTTCTAACGGATATTTAAAGATGCAATTTTAATTTTACATTGCCTTATTTTTCCTAAAATAAATTTAGGACTTAACTTCTAACAGGACTTGTGTACTTGATTTTTAAAAATGGGAGCTAGAAAATGTTGAATTAATTTTTAAATTTTTGTCATAGAATGTGGACTTGTACATGTAGACCCACAAGTTGCGAGGTGGTAGCCAGAATGTGCCAGATATTGATTTTTAATTTTTTTCTGAACGGGATTTTTAATTTTTGAGGAATAATGGGGTACTTTAAAATGAGCAGCCAGAAAATGGGGTCTCATCATACACTCTCATGGCAACAGTGAGTGGTAACTGGTAAGAGTGTGTGAGTTCAAAGCTGGAAAATCAGGTAGAAAAATTTACTTTTTCTTCAAAATACTGTCCCAAATTAAAGAAAACATTGTGTGGGGTCGAAAATATAACTAATTTGAAGCACCTCATTTATTATCAGAATACAAAATGCAAGTGATTACGCCCACAGGGGTGGGCTAAACTACACAGTACCCGAAAATGGTTGACCCTTATTGCATAAATTGTTACAAGTTTATACTTTGCTTTATGTGGCCGACTCAACAGATAAATGCCGAACTTGTTCCAAATCGTTCAGTGACTGGTACTGCTGCAGTTTTACATGTACTTTGGGGACTTTCCAACGTGCAGTCGAGTCCAAACCGACCGCGATATATAACAAGCTTGATCTACGGGCTAGCAAATGTTTTAAATAACAACGGTACTGAACGAAGTGAACACAAAGTAATCGATCGAGCTGTAAAAGCTACATATTGCCGGTCTCGACCCGAGACCAGCCAAAATATCGAGACCAAAGGGGACCGAGACCGAGACCAAGACCGAGACCACAGCTTCCGAGACCGAGACCGAGACCGAGACCAGCAAAAAGTGGTCTCGAGACCGGTCTCGAGACCGAGACCGGTCTCGATACCTACAACACTGCCAGTACCCGATGTTCCCCAATACATGTACCGATGTTCCCCAACACCGATGTTCCCCGAAATCCTTAGGATTAGGGTTAGGGTTAGCGTTAGGATTAGGGTTAGGGTTAGGGAACATCGGTATTGGGGAACATAGGTATGCACCCCCTGAGAAATTGTGCTTCATCAGCTGATAGTTGATTAGGTATATGTGTCGCAGTTTGGTACTAAAACATTGGGTGTGCATCATGATCAGCTTATGCTCTGTCCAAGCTGGGAGGATCTGCCGGTTTTTCGCATACATCCATGATGGCGGCCACTTTTAAGTTTTATCGTCGTGGGAATGCCGCATTCATACTTGTTCATTATGTGCTATATGCATGCAGCACTAGCGGGCGCTACTTAATGTACAGAGGTCATTTTCTGTAAATGGGGTTCGCTCGTACCCCCCGCCCTGCAAACAGGACGCTGGGATACTCTGATGTATTCACGCTCTGATTGGTTGGATTTTGCGTGACCTGTGACCTGCGCGTCATCACGGTCATGACTCTGCAAAGTTTGAAACGGCCGTTAAGACTGATTCGTTACACGTTTATTCCAGTTAAGAGATGTTTTTTTTCGTTGGAAAGCGTAATAATGTAGGAAAATCTGTAAAACTTATCTGTGTTCACGTGTGTTGTAAATTTACAATTCCCGTCACTTGCCCAGGCTCCGTTTCGAATCACGAACGGTCGGATTGTATTATGCGACGCTCAAAATTTTGTCCACTTGGTCCGCAATGAAACAGAAATCACATCCGGTATGGAACGTATGCATTTCTATGGAAGTTTTCGGATGAGCATTTGCGCATATTGTCTAACTGCGGTCTTTAACAGCTGCAGCCAGATGCTTTATACATAGGTCATAGGCCACTTCCTTCACAAGATTCTGTGAAGCTCGTCAGAGTATCCCAGCGTCCTGTTTGAAGGGCGGGGGGTACGAGCGAATAAATGGGGACGAAGTTGGAAAAGAAACGCGAATCGGAATGCTCGCGCATAGTACAGGACAAGTCAAGAGATCTAGTTTTGTTTTTGCTTTTTTCTTAATGAAATGTGAAGTTTGATTTTCAATCATTTACCTTGACCCACCCACTCACAATTTGGAAGAAAAATAATAATCCAAATTTAAAAACATTGAACATTTTGAATGGTCCCTTACGGCTTTAAAGGGAATATACATCATTTGCTTTTGCTGTAATTTTCAGAAATGGATGGAATTGGGGGGTTAGAAATATATAGCAAATATAGTTACACTGACTTTTTTTTAAGGTTTTGGGTTCGAAAATGCTATAAAAACCAAGAAAAACGATCATTTTCCTGTAGTCTGGTTCCCTGACACCATATAAGAAGAAACAGAACAGTTTACATAATTTGGGGAATTGTAAGGTCAGGGAACCAGTCTAGCTGGCTCGTACCCGTTCATAGGTTTGTAATCGATTGCAAACAAGTGCGATGGTCAATTGGGGCCAGTATTTGAAAAAAAGCCAGTTGTTTCCAACGCTGATCGGCCGATCAGCGTTGGAAATTGATACAAAAATACCACTTTTCTTGAAAATGACAGTATACCAGGTGCCAAGATTTTACAGGATGCTTTACACTGTCATTCACTAACAGTCCAGCAAGGTATTTCAAAATGATTTGGTAGTTTTATTTTTTGATGTTTGCAAATGTTGTATTTTCCCTTTAAAATGTGAATAAATTAGACAATGTGAATAAATTGGAAAGAAATAATAGCGCCCTCTATCATCAAAAGAGGTCCAGCCCCCTCCCCAACGTTTAATCTTGCCCCCCCCCCCCCCCCCCCGGACAAAATCCTGGCTACGCCACTGCGAAGGCGATGAAAATATGGCTATGTCAATCCTTTTTGGCGATAGCGGTGTCACTGTTCGGTGACACTGTCGGTGACGGTGTGAAAAGGGGAGTGGGTAATTAATGTGACTGGTGATGAGAGTGACGGGTTGCCTTTCGATGACAACCTGAGGGCTTGTTCATACTTCATGCGAAAGCGAACTTCAAGCGAATTTCATGACGTAAGAAATGGAACTTTTATTGTGAAATTCGCTTCTCTTTGAAATTCATGTGAACTAGAACCGGCCTTAAGTCTCTACAAACACACGCACAAACAAAATCTGGTTAGCTCATGGGAAATTGCGCACTGCACAAACATAAAACTGCGCGTTTTGACTTTGAATGTGGGGCTCTTATCAATCTATAGTTCTATACAATTCACATCCTTTTTAAGTAGCCGACATAAACCACATATAACAACTTTAATCCATAAAAATGTACATATTTACAATTTAAACTTCCTTTCAATAAGAAATAGGCATATTACATACGTTTATTAAAGGGAAGACATGCCATTCAATTTGCGCTCCGTGTGTTGACTTTCCTTAGGGTAGTGGAATGGGGCAGACGGTGAATTCAACTCAAAAAGCCATGGAGCTAGCCATTTTTTAAATACTTGTTTATCTATATATCAGTGTACATGTACTCACGAAGCGATGTCAGCATCTCGGAAGGCCTTAGCGAAGGGGTTGTTCTGGATCTTCAGCTGAGTGATCTGCTCGCTGTGGTAGGCCGTGACGGCAATGAAGGCAGTCTCCTCAAATTCGAAGCATGATGGGCGGCTGCCGCCAACAGCAGCCGGCAGCTGACGGTAGTGGGGAACACCGCCCTCTGTCGGCAGGTTGGGGTCGGAGCAAGGCGCCGCAATACCCCTCACGTTGGCCGATGAACATCTGAGCTGGGTTATAATGATGCGCGGAGTGTATCTGTGCATCGAATGGAGGACAGTCTGTAGAATTGGAGAAGGAAACAGTAATTATTTCGTCTTCCTTATATCCCCAGAGTTTTTGGTGTAACATTAAAAGTCATCATGCCACCTGTTACGTCAACTAGACATCCAAGCGTCTCTCATGTTTGTTTTTTCCCCATGTTTGTTTTTTCCTCAGTGATTTTTCCCCCATATTTTATACAGTGGTGCCAACATCTTAAATAAAACCCACCCATTTTGCAACTGATAGACCATAGATTTGTTTGTTTGCTAAATTTGTTACTTTTTTGTGTTTTATTATGTTTTGTTTGTCGGCGTCACGTGACCACAACATACGTTTTTGTAAATACATGGTCAAAAGTTAAACAATCAATGTTTGACTTTGGTTCAGATAGTGGCACAGTGACAACTCACTAGCGTACCGTAACTTATAGTATACGTCTACCAGAGCATTAGTCACTAAAATCGATTAGACTGAAGGGCCAGTGTTGAATATCTGTTAAGCAAAACTTAAAGTATTTTAAGAGTATACTACCAACGCATACGTTTAATTAAAAAGGGCTCTAAGGGCAATTATGTAACTTGTTGCTTCTTTTCAGGAAAAAAGATTGCTTCAAAATTTATAGCAAGTATAACAAAGGCTTTCAAATACGAGTTGTCTATTTGTTCCGCGAATCTTATATTTAAACAAAAATTGACGTCAAAGTATATATTAAATATTAAAATACTAGACTTTGTTGGAAAGTGAGTGCTTACCTCACTTAAAAAAACCTCTTGTATTAAAAACACGAACGACGTTTCATTCATTCAAGAATTATGTATTTACAATACAAGAAGAAAAAGCTATGACGCATTTGGTATCGTTTCGTCTATTCTTTCCTTTACCACCTAAGCTTTAAACAAAAAAATACTTTTAGAGACAGCCTTACGCATTTGTCGTGGAATTAGTTCAATAATAATACTTCACGCCAACACGAATTCGAATCAAATTTGACTCATGAATCATTCGCGGTGAAATGTTAACTGATGTGACTTTGCATGGTGCGAAATCTTGAACTGGCGGCCAAATTCGCGTTCGTTTTCGTACCAGGCATAAACCGGCCTGTGCCTTTATAGGTCAATGGTCACTTACGTTTGTCCCTCCAGTTTCCTTGTTGTTGGTTATCTTGAGTTTAGCGAAGGATACTCTGTCCTGCATCCAGAAAGCCCCTAAGCTAGGCGAGTCAGGGTGTTCAAAGAGCTTGTTAGGGGGCTCGGCGTCTGCCTTGCCTACTGGCACCCACTTGCCATTGATGAACTTGTAGCGACGACGATCGCTGGCGTCCAGTTCCATCTGTACGCGATACAGGGTCGTGGGGTCCATACCCAGCATTGTAATCACGACACAAGGGAACATGCGTCTGTAAGCGATGACAAATAAAGGGATGAGTCAAGTTCAGTTAGTGGTAGTTACACAGTTATCTACTATTGCTTACCACACAGCCGTGTTTTGCCGAATGGGGGGGGGGGGTTCAAACTTTGGGCAGCCATTATGGCAAAAGAAAGACATAACTGTTAACATTGTTATAAGCACCGACCATGATTGTAACACTGAATAATGATCGAATTCGCCATAAAAACTTTATGAAGGTCGAGATACCTTCCATCGTCAATACTGAGGTATAAATGCACTGATTGAGGCAAAACATATTGAAACAACGGTTGAATTATTATTAACTTTTACCATAAGAAAAGAAACGTCTAGACTGCCTTCCGTGGTCATGGTGCTCGGCTGGTTGATCATTACATGCATGGGTTGCAATGAGACTGAGTTATAAGCAAATCATTTTAAAGATCCAATGGTTTCTTAAGCCTGTTTCCCAAACTACCTGATCGTGGGTCGGGAACAGTTGCCACATTCAAAAGTAGAACATGACGGAGCAAAGCCAGGCTCTCGTCCAAGCGCATAGGCATGACGCCCAAATAGGCTTTCAATGCAGAATGACATTTTTCGGAAGGCTTTTAGTGTTATATATTTAAGGATACGAGTAATTCAAACTTCAGTATGAATTAATTATGAGTAATGACTATCATGACGTATCAAGCCATATTGGTCACACACCCCTGAAAATTGTACCAACCAGAGGTGTATATAGGCATGCACAAAATGGAATGAATGAGATGATTTGCCTTGGAAAAACAATGCACGTTGAAATATCTTGTGGTTATATCACAATAGAATGTTACAGGACGTTGGAGAATGGCAAACCTAAAAGTGCCTATTTTTAAGGTGTTTTAAATTGTGTAAAATTGTTTATGGTATAAGCTTTTCAAAATGTTTCGACGAAGTTTCGTTTTCTTTTCAGGCAAAACTGAACAGTAACAAACTTATAAATATGAAATCATTTCACACTGAAAACAACAGCTGGGCTTGTGACTTGACTCGGGACTGAATGACTTGCGACTGACTTGTTAGGACTTTCTGAGAACTTGAACATATCTCTGATAGGTAATCTCCGCCTTTGTAATGCATCCCTACAGGACAAAATGTTGTAGCTTGCCAAAGTGACAAGCCATATCATTAGGACGAAACCTTATGAAACTTGCCAGAATATTACGACTTTGTTTGTTTGTTCTTTGCACCTGGAAACTAAAATTCATACAAAACTGTCACGGATAAAAAAAAATTATACTGTTTAAAAGGTAGCCCGCATTTACCTCCCGATACGATTAACGATCATTTCGGTACCGCATTTGTTGAACATTTTCCAGAGTTTGGAGTTCTCCAAGGTAACCTGGATACCATCCACGCATTTGGAGATAGGCTGGTCAGCGGTCTCCATGTCAACAGACTCCATGCCGTCTTTTCCCGGTGTGGGATCCACGTCTTTGATGGAGGGATGTTGGACGGGACACGGGGGATCTGTCAGCATGTAGTCCGCACCGAGGAGAAATCGTCGTTCCAAGGGACGTCCGTGGCTCTCATCGGGGTACCAGCCGATCCCTGCCTTCTGCTTGCTGCCCGAGCCGGAGATCCCTTCGTCGGGGTACAAGTCGCCCGTACATCTAACCTTCGGACGGACCGACCGCTGGCCGACGATATTGAGATTGGTCAAGGGGAAACCCTGGCGGGCAACCGGCGGCGACGACGGGGGATGAGCTCCCGCCAACCCACCCTCCACGTCGTCGTGCATCGAGATTCCCCGCAAGAGCGAGGCAGTTCGGTGAACGAGAGACTTATCCGTGGAATCCGATAGCGTGGATTCACTGGGGCCGGCGGGGCCGCCGTTATAAGACTCCGTATCTACTGACCCCGTACCTAGTGGCTTCAGCCCGGACGAGTGGCTGTAGATTTCAGCCGTTTGGCGGCGGTCTCGATCGTCTTTGTCAATCTCGGAGGAAGTCGCTATCAAAGACTGAATAGAAAACGCCTTTGCGTTTTGTGACAGCTCCATAATTGCACCTATCCCACAGACGAAAATAGTTCCAGTGTCCGAATGTTGTCTTAGTTTTTATGCCGAAGATCAAAATGATCTCTTGATGTGTCCCGTCTCGTTTCTGTACAATAATTACACTAAATAGTCCAATACTTTCCTGCTTTGTGTCGGCCAGTGTAATCCAGTGATATATTTAGCCTCATACCTCATTATGATGTCTTATATCTTTCTGTAGAGGTTCCTGCCTTCATTATCACGGGCCGTGAGATAGGAAGCCACCATTATGTAGGCGAAACCCTACACCTAAAACTTTGGTTTCGCAATCATCCGGGTCGGTAAACTCACACAAGATGTTGTCACGCTAGGGCGTAGCTAAGGGTAAACTGACGTCATCGTTTTGACGAAGTGACGAGCATGCGCCCACCACCGGCAGATTTAAAAATTGTCCAAAGGGGAGGGGGAGGGCGGTCATCCTTTGGGTCGTCCGATGTGAGATCATGTTCAGCGTATTACAGCACCGACGTCGGTTTATTGTACTGATGACAGGGCGTCATGGCCTGTGTCAGTGTTTGCTCGAAGTGGTGTGGGGACGTTTTTCGGTGCTAGTGTGGGGGGATTTTTTGGCAGCCCAAGGAGGGGGGAGGCGGTCATCCTTTGGGCGTGAGACCCGAGATCATGTTGAGCCATTATAGCATCGACGTCGGTTTATTGTACTGATGATAGGGCGTCATCGCCTGTGTCATTTTTCGTTCGGAGGGGGGGGGGGGGGAGGCGTTTTTCGACGTTCGGGTGGGGGGAGTTTCTCGGCAGCCCAAGGAGGGGGCGGTGGTCATTCTTTTGGGCGTACGTGAGACCCGAGATCATGTTGAGCGCATTGTAGCACCGACGTCAGTTTATTGTTATCAGTCATGTTTACGCTCGGATGGTTGGGGCGTTTATTGACGCTTGAGTGGGGGTGGGGGCGTTTTTCGGCGGCCTATAAGGAGCAAATCACGATTTCGTATAAATTTCTCGGGGCAAAACATGAAAAGATACCTAATACAATACCCCTAAGCTGTGCACTCATGAAACATAGTCTTTTCGTCCGTCAAAACAGAAAATTTAGACCAACACAGGTGCGTGAAGGTTTTTATATTACACAGATTCGTCACCTCATCAAAACGCACTACACATGAAACATTTAAGCGACGAATCGAGATTCGCCACTTCGAGATTCGTCACTTCGTCAAAACGAAAACCTGAGTTGACAAACATTCGGCACTTCGTGCATTATCGTAATAACAAATGATGCAATTGTGTGTCTTGCCGGATTATGTGGGAACATAATCGCCGGATTATGTGGGAACATAATCAGATCTAAGAATTTTCCAAAGATCCCAAATTGCTTTAAAAAAAGCTGGGTTAGGCTGATTCGTCACTTCGTCAACGGTAACGGGGTTCGAGGCCTGTTCTCCCTCCTTACCTACTCGATCAGAATTGGAGAAGAAAAATAAGCTTTGTCGAATATTAAACTCAAGTCCATCTTGAGTCAATGTCCCCAGTCATAAGTAAATCACATGTCCGGCAATTTACAAAGGGATGAACAATTACGAAGGAACGCCTTTGTCTCGGCTTAGGCTTATTGGAATAACTTGAGGAGTTGACTTCAGACTTGATAACTTAAGTCTTGTGGTGGACTTGTAATGACTTTTGATAGACGCGACATCACTGCAAACTGTAACCGAACCCATGCACCCTCCAGAAACTGAGGTTCTCTGAACCCTCCTTTCGCATTTCCGCCACACTTTCAAGCATGACCTGAGCATTATAAGATGCCGAGACATTCTGGGCCGGCGATTTCGATTTTTGTCTTGAGCTTAATCTACCATTTCGATCCTGCACGACTCCCTAAATTTCCATGTCGATATCGAGTTTGTTTTTCTGTTCGTTTTAGATTGCATGGGGATGTTTCCAAACTTCTACTTTTTACTGGAGATTTCTTAACGAGCCACGTTTCCACAGGGAATACATACATTTTTGGGGGGAAATAATGAGAAACAGTAGTCAAACCCAAGAATCCCAACATGCGCACTGACGTTAATGATGGCTATAAATTTAACTAGAGATTCGCGTTTGTTGTTACAAACGCAGAGTGGTCGGGTAGACAACTATTTTATGAAACACTGTCCAGTTAAGTTATAAATATTTTTATAACAACACAGGATCACGAAATTTATTAAATCCTTTCCAGGACAATTAATTAATTTGTTTAAAAAAATGCATCTTTAACGGTGTGATAAATTTCAGTAAACATTCTGTGTACACATACAAGTTATTTCTGGCTTGATAACGTCATTAGTAAAAAAAACGGGAAGTGAATACTGATTTAGTTCGGAGTGGATGTTCATTGTGAAGTTAAATAACTATGAAAATTTGGAAAATTTTGGTACGTATTTATAACACCGAACTTCCGGTTTGATGACGTCACAGTGTTTGGAAGCAAAAGGTGAACAATGTAATGGTATCGTTATTTGGGCTAAGATATACGACATGGATCAAATGATAAATGTAAAATATGATCGTTGGCAAATTCTCATAGAAGTAACTTCCGGTCTGATGACGTCATGAATTTGAAACCTTGCCAAGTTATCTGTGGTTAATCAAATAATATCAAGGGGCGATTTGGTAAAATTTGAACCTATGGTTTTAAAATTAAACAAAAGACACTATTTTATGTGCCGCGAGGGGGCGTTCTTTCAGATGATGACGTCATCACATTGTTTTTTATGTGTCTGGCATTCCTCACTAAACACTTTCATAACATATATGTCTGTAGTAAAATGCTTCCGCTTTTGAGTTATATTCAGTTTTTATTGCACTTTCGGTAACACCGGAAGTATGGTCAAGCGGTTTTGTGTCCGACACGAAATGTTTCTCACGGCATAGTTGACAACCTCACGAAAAAAACGAATTCGATTATCTATTTAGTTCAAAAGATATAGCGCAAACTATTTTGTCAAAATTTGCCCTTAAAGATATAGTCCATCATTTGTAATTTGTGCATTTTGTTCGTTTGAAGCAACAAAAGTGTTCAAAATCTAATGAAGGATACTGAACAACTAACCTGATGAGTTTCAGCTCAGCTTCAGCTGTATATTCCGAGAAAAAATGGCATTCTAGGATCTCAATTTCAAATCAAAAGTTAATCTCGGGACAACAGACAGCAATAAACTGAGTACACAATCACTTGGCTTGAGAAAGTCCACAGGAGTGGATGAAAGCTTGCCACTAATTTTCAGGTTGGTAGAAGCTTAAACTACATCATGTACATGTTACAAACATCATTGATTATTCAATTGAAGAGTTATAGGTGAAAGAAATTGGTCACGTTTTCAGATAAAATCACTTGTAATTTGACACCTGATGACGTAATCATGACGTCAGAGTAATATGCACCACTTCGGATGAGGGTCGATATATAGTGAAAGTTACAAGTTCATACCACATACCGTTTAGGAAAAAACCCGCGGAGAAGTATTGTCCAGAAAAAAGAAAGAAAGAAAGAAAGATTAATCGTAACAACTCCAAAGAGTGGTCGGGTTGTGCCCGACCACTCAAATACCACTGGCAATATTTGCGATCATGACTCCGTGTGTCCAAACATATACCGTGTAGTTAAAAAAAAAGGAGTACCAACTGGTACATAAATAACCCATATCCTTTCGCCAAGGCCATCGTGGCGTTAAACTTTTCAACCGGCATATATATTACACGGAGCAGCAAAAACGCGAAGCGACTGGAGCGGAGAACACATGCGCGAGTGGAGAAGCGGGGAGGCCTTTTCAAACTCGTCAGGAATTTCTTATGTTTTTCTTTATTTTCTCGATTTTTGCTACCCTAAAAGAGTAGCTAAATTCCAACCAATCATTAGCCTTTTAGGGCGCGCTGAACTACTATCCGGACGCCCTATGCGTGCGCGCCCCGGATGCTGGATCAAAATTTTTAACCAAAAAGCGAGTCTAGTTCTCCACGAGAATGTGACGGCGTAATTGTTCTTTCATTGTCTTATCCACGCCTGACAGTGAGGCGGAATACATAAGTCCGATGCCTCATTTCCGACGCCTCATAATTCCGAAATGACGGACTTATGAGGCGTCGGAGCTATACACTGTTATTTCGGTTGTGTACTATATGAACCTAGCAAAAAATGAACAACTTGTGTAATATTTTACGCAAGTTGTGTAAACAACTGTTTACGCAACTGGTTGCTAGGTTCATATAGTACACAACCGTTTGATTTTTACACAACTGAAATAACAGTGTAAGGCGTCGGACTTACGATACGACCCCCCGTGAACACTGTTCGTGGGTCACTCGAGAACGGGGTTTCGAATATGCCCCAAGTTACAGTAATTATACAAGAACAATACATGTTTGCATCATGAACAACGCTCTCATGTCCAGAGTTACCTCCCTACACCACCCTTTCGTCGAAGATTTCAATAACCAAATGGGAAATTAAAAGAAAT